GAGTGGGGGGATTGGGATATCGCTCCCACAGGGAGTGGGGGGATTGGGGTATCACTCCCACAGGGAGTGGCGGAATTGGGGTATTGGTCCCACAGGGAGTGGAGGGATTGGGGGACTCACTCCCACAGGGAGTGGGGAGTGTGGGGCTCACTCCCACAGAGAGTGGGGGGATTGGGGGTCTCGCTCCCACAGGGAGTGGGGGGATTGGGGGACTCACTCCCACAGGGAGTGGGGAGTGTGGGGCTCACTCCCACAGAGAGTTGGGGGATTGGGATATCACTCCCACAGGGAGTGGGGGGATTGGGGTATCACTCCCACAGAGAGTGGCGGGATTGGGGTATCACTCCCACAGGGAGTGGGGGGATTGGGGGACTCACTCCCACAGGGAGGGGGGGGGAATAGGAAACTCGCTTCCCACAGCAGTCAGTTGGGGGGGGTGTGCATCGAATGGATCGTTGAATGGAAAGCTGTTTGAACACGAGGTAGAAAGAAACAAGAGACTGGGGGGGCAGCATGAAATGAAATAAACTGGACGGAGACTCAGGTGAAGCATCAGCACTAGCAGGGAGCAGCGGGCTGAATGGTCTGTTACTGTGCACTAAATCCTGTGACATTTTACTGAGAGCTGCTCAAGAATGCTCTAAGCAGAGATCATTCAATTCCTGAGATATCCGAGCCTCCAGCAAAAGTGTGATGTGAAGGGACCCCCAGGCCAGGGACAGTGTATCTCAGAGGCTTGCACAGGAAGGATCTGGGAGATAGGGAGGGGAGATGCAGGGGCTGTGGTTCGGGGTGAGTGTGGGCTCGGTCTCTGTACACCTCATGGGGATTGTACGATTGCAGTTAGAGTTCCCAAGATCGGCCATTGTTCCTTATCTCCATTCAGTCAACCACTTGTCATGGCACGTGCCTCAGAGATGAACCTGCAGGGGGCGGTGTTCCTATGTATCTGCTGCCCTTGTCCTTCTAGATGGAAGTGATCGTGGGTTTGGAAGATGCTGACTGAGGATCTTTGGTGAATTTCTGCAGTGCATCTTGTAGATGGTACACACTGCTGTTACTGAGCGTCGGTGGTGGGGGGAGTGGATGTTTGTGGATGTGGTGCCAATCAAGCGGGGGCTGCTTTGTCCTGGATGGACAAGCTTCTTGAGTGTTGTTGGGGCTGCACCCATCCAGGCGAGTGGGGAGTATTCCAGTACACTCCTGACTTGTGCCTTGTAGATGGTGGGACAGGATTTGGGGAGTCAGGAGGTGAATTACTCACTGCAGTATTCCCAGCCTCTGACCTGCTCTTGTAGTCACTGTACTTATATGATGAGTCAAATTGAGTTTCTGGTCAATGGTAACCCCCAGATGTTGATAGTGGGGGATGCAGTGATGGTAACACCATTGATTTTCAAGGGGCAGTGGTTAGATTGTCTCTTATTGGAGATGATCATTGCCTGGTATTTGTGTGGCGTGAATGTTACTAGACACTTCTCAGCCTAAGCCGATATTTTGTGCAGATCCTGTTGTATTTGAACATGGACTGCTTCAGTATCTGAGGAGTCACAAATGGTGCTGAACAGCATTTTTTCCCGAAACCCATTGATTGCAGTGTTGCTAGGGCTCCCTGATGCCACACTCGGTCAATGCGGCCTTGATATCAAGGGCTGGCATCTTCACGTTTCCTCTTGAATTCGATTTTTTTTATCCATGTTTGAACCAAGGCTATAATGAGTTCTGGACCTGAATGACCCTGTTTGATCCCAAACTCAGTGTCAATAAGTTGATCCATTTGACAGCACTGGTGATGACACCTTCCATCATTTTAGTGATGATCGAGAGGAGACTGATGGGGCGCTAATTGGCCGGGTTGGATTTGTCCTGGTTTTTGTGTGCAGGACATACTTGAGCAATTTTCCACATTGTTGGGTAGATGCCAGTTTTGGGGCTGTACTGAAACAGCTTGGCTAGGGGAGCAGCAAGTTCATTACTATGCCGGAATGTAGTCAGGGCCCATAGCCTTTTGCAGTATCCAGCGTCTCCAACCGTTTCTTGATATCATGTGGAGTGAATTGAATTGGCTGAAGACAGGTATCTGTAATGCTAGGGCCCACTGGAGGAGATTATTAATCAAACCAACTGCTGTCTAAGCTGCTTCCAATTTGAAAGCTCTTCACTGTTGACTTATCCGAGTATTTCCAGCTGGATGCTGGAGTTAGGTACTGATGTGTTTGGAATTTAACGATGCAGTGCGATATTGAAGTCGGACCATGTTGCTGTGTAGTTAGACAAAGGTTATTGTGAGCAATTGTGCCCACTGTTTCAATGTGACAATCACAGTCTCCAGAAATCTGCAATGTTTTTGATTTGATACTGACTGATAACATTAATTTCCTTGTTGTTCTCCTTGCCTTGTGTTATTGCAGTACCTGCCCAGAGAAACTGACAGCTCAGGACAACGCCATTCAGCCTTGTGCTACTGTCCCACTCTCCCTGTTCATTCTCCATAACCCTGCAACTTCAACAGTACAGGATACATTTGCCAAAATTTCGAGTTATTTATCCTGGTGAGGGATTTTGTCCAATGGGAATGAATAGTAGTAATCTGTCTGCTTGGATCTCTGTATCCAGTGCCCAGTGCACATCCCTGGGGGAAACACTCAGTTAATCACAGTGCTTCTTGCTCTATTGTTTCCCTTTTGCAGTCACATCCAGATTGCTCCTTTTGTTGTGGCCATGGGTGACCCTAACACCATCCACTATAATTCATTAAACAGGTCACTGCAGGGCATTGCTAATGTGGGAGATTCAACATCTTGTTGCTGGCCTTTTTCGAATGTTTTTGCTCTAACCCAGGGCCTGTGAGCATGTGAATGTTGCTAAATGTCCTGAAGTCAGGGAGTAACTGAGCAGGTAGCTTGCTTTCCATTCTGGTTCAGGGGCACAGCTCAGTTCTATGTGTTGCAATTTTGCTTGCGTTATGCTATTGTTATCTTAGTTTGCCTGCCTGATTGAATAAGTCATGGAGCAGCGAAGCCCCTTGTATTTTTTATTAAGCTTCAGGCTCTCTGTTTAATAGTTGGAGTTATTTCTGTACCATGATTGTATTTTTACAGAACCCCATTAAGAGCATGTGATCACCCACATGGGATGGACTGCATGCTTCCTGTTTCCCACTGGCTCTAGAAACTAATTCTGTCTTTATTTTCTTTTCCCCATTTGATTGTTTGACCACATTTTCTATTGTCTTGTTTAACGAACTGCTTTGTAGATCTCCAATCAGAATAAAAGAGTTGGAGAAGTTCAGAAGGAGAGCCTTGACATTTCATCACAGAAACTTCATTATAAAAAACTTTTCAGTATTCCCGAGCTAGCCGAGGAAAGTGGAGAAAATGCAGAGACACAGCCTCCCAAACCTGTAGAAGGCAAACCCAACTCGGCTGCTAGACAGAAGATAGAAGTGCAATCAAAGATGGAGAAAGGATTGCAGAGTTATAGACCGGGCAAGCCCTGCGTGCAAGACTACAGACAGCCCTTAACGTCAAAGAGACCTTCTGAGGAGCAGAGCTCATCTCCAAAGGCTACGCCCAATGTGGATGATTACTTGTGGGAAGATAGGGTTAGCAGACTAAGTAGAGAGGCCACAAGGAGCGCAGTCAGTGCATTAGACTGTGCAAGTGGGGAAGAGGTTGCACAATCCTTGAGTAACACGACTAACAGACAGAGCTGTGTAACCCTGAGGCTTACGACAACAGGACAGGACGATGATTCGGGATCTGCTGGCTGCCTGGACAGATGTGCCCCCGTGCAGACAAGGGCCCGCAAAAGACCCTTACAGAGGCAAGTTAGCATTGAAGAGGACTTCTTCAGTGCAGAAGCTTCAGGCGGCAGGTCCCTGTCAGTTTCAGATGTTGCGAGTAGGGATACACGAAAGTACAGAGCTGAGAAGAATGTGACAGAGAACAATAATGGAAGGGACATGGTCTGCACAGAAGAGAAGCAGGTTGCCTGGACGACTAAATTAAAAACAAGTAACTCTAGTGTGCCAGATGCAGTTACAGTATGTGTCCAAAGGGACAAGGAAAGATTACTGGTGTGTGGAATTAGCATCACTCCTGCCATCTGCTTGCCAATCAATCTTGTTAATTATTCTCCTTTTTCTTTTCTCTGCTTATTTATTTTCTTTTCTTGGTATGCTTTATGAATTATTTCTCCTATGCTTGGCTTGGTCTGCACTAAATGCCCACAATCATCGTTGTTGATATCTTCATTGCTTGCAAAGAGCCCAATTCCTCACAGGGTCTGTTTGTACCCATTGGCTGTCACTCTTAATTTGACCAATTAATTTGACTAGTTGCTTTTCTGTAGACTAGAATTTACCCCAGTCAATCTGTTTTTGTTTTAGTTTCTTTGCAGTAGAATGAAAAGGGGATACGTTCCTGGTGTCTCAATTTACCTCCCTGTGTCTGGATTTCTCTCTCCAGATTTTAGGCAATCCAGCGGGATCCGGGCGCAAGTTGGACAGAATGGATCATCTGGGCCGACGGGCATCTCATGGTAGTGCCCAGAGAGGAAGGCCCATGACTGTGCCATCAATTGGTGAGTTAACCCCCCAAATCACAGGGTCCATCAGGTCATTAACCCCCCGAATCACAAGGTACATCAGGTCATTCAGAGATAGTAAGAAATGTAGATGTTGGAGTCAGAGATAACACAGTGTGGAGCTGGATGAACACAACAGGCCAGACAGCGTCAGAAGAGCAGGAAAGTTGATGTTTCGAGTTGAGACCCTTCTTCAGAAATGACCCGAAACGTCAACTTTCCTGCTCCTCTGATGCTGCCTGGCCTACTGTGCTCCTCCGGCCCCACACTGTACATCAGCACATGTTTTTATTCATTTGAGGGAAATGGTGTTGCTAACTTGTCAGCATTTATTGCCTGTCCATAGTTGCCCCTTGAGAAAGTGGTGGTGAGCTGCCTTCTTGAACCGCTGCACTCCATGTGCTGGGGGTTGACCCACAATGCCCTTGGGGGGAATTCCAGGATTTTGACCCAGCGACAGTGAAGGATCGGTGATATATTTCCAAGTCAGGATGGGAAGTGATTTGGAGAGGAACTTGCAGGGGGTGGTGTTCCCATGTATCTGCTGCCCTTGTCCTTCTAGATGGACGTGGTCGTGGGTTTGGAAGATGCTGTCTGAGGATCTTTGGTGAATTTCTGCAGCAGATCTTGTAGATAGTACACACTGCTGTTACTGAGCGTCGGTGGTAGAGGGAGTGGATGTTTGTGGATGTGGTGCCAATCAAGCGGGGGCTGCTTTGTCCTGGATGGTGTCAAGCTTCTTGAGTGTTGTTGGGACTGCACTCATCCAGGCAAGTGGGGAGTATTCCATCACACTCCTGACTTGTGCCTGGGAGATGGTGGACAGGCTTTGGGGAGTCAGGAGGTGAGTTACTTGCCGCAGTATTCCCAGCTTCTGCCTGCTCTTGTAGCCCCTGTGTTTATGTGGTGAGTCCAGTTGAGTTTCTGGTCAATGATAACCCCCAGGATGTTGATAGTGGGGGATTCAGTGATGGTAACACCATTGAATGTCAAGGGGCGGTGGTTGGATTGTCACTTCTGGTGATGGTCACAGCCTGGCATTTGTGTGACATGAATGTCACGTGCCACTCGTCAGCCCAAACCTGGATATTGTCCAGATCTTGTTGCATGTGAACACGGACTGCTTCAGTATCTGAGGAGTCACGAATGGTGCTGAACTTTGCAATCATCGGCGAACATCCCCACTTCTGACCTTAAGATGGAGGGAAGGTCATTGATGAAGCAGCTGAAGATGGTTGGGCTGAGGGTACCACCCTGAGGAACTCCTGCAGAGATGTCCTGGAGCTGAGATGACTGACCTTCAATAACAACGACCATCTTCCTATGTGTCAGGTAGGACTCCAACCACCGGAGAGTTTACCCCTGATACCCATTCATTCCAGCTTCTCTGGGTTCCTTGATGCCACACTCGGTCAAATGCATCCTTGATGCAAAGGGCTGTCACTCTCACCTCACCTGTGCAATTCAGCTCTTTTATCCATATTTGACCCAAGGCTGTAATGAGGTCTGGAGCTGAGTGGCCCTGGCGGAACCCAAACTGGGCGTCACTGAGCAGGTTATTGCTGAGCAAGTGCTGCTTGATAGCGCTGTTACTGACACCTTCCATCATTTTACTGATGGTCGAGAGGAGACTGATGGGCCGGTAATTGGCCGGGTTGGATTTGTCCTACTTTTTACATACAGGACATACTTGGGCAATTTTCCACATTGTTGGGTAGATGCCAGTGTTGTAACTGTACTGGAACAGCTTGGCTCGGGGAGCGTCAAGTTCTGGAGCGCAAGTCTTCGGTACTATTGCTGGAATGTTGTCAGGGCCCGTAGCCTATGCAGTATCCAGTGTCTCCAACTGTTTCTTGATATCACGTGGAGTGAATCGAATTGGCTGAAGACTGGTATCTGTAATGCTGGGGACCACTGGAGGAGGCTGAGATGGATCATCCTTTGGGCACTTCTGGCTGAAGATTGCTGCGAATGCTTCAGCCTTATCTTTTGCACTGATGTGCTGGGCTCTTCCATCATTGAGGATGGGGATATTTGTGGAGCCTCCTCCTCCAGTGAGTTGTTTAATTGTCCATCACCATTCACAACTAGATGTGGCAGGACTGCAGAGCTTAGATCTGATCCGTTGGTTGTGGGATCACTTAGCTCTATCTATCACTTGCTGCTTTCACTGTTTGGTGTGCAACTAGTCCTGTTTGTTGGCTTCATCTTCAGGTATGCCTGGTGTTGCTCCTGGCATGCCTTCCTGCACTCTCCATTGAACCAGGGTTGATCCCCTGCCTTGATGGTAATGGTTGAGTGGGGGATATGCCGGGCCATGAGGTTACAGATTGTGCTGGAGTACAATTCTGCTGCTGTTGATGGCCCACAGCGCCTCATGAATGCCCAGTCTTGTTGCTAGATCTGTGCGAAGTCTGTCCCATTTAGCACGGTGATAGTGCCACACAACACGATGGAGGTTATTCCCAATGTGAAGGGGGGACTTTGTCTCCTCAAGGACTGTGCGATGGTCACTCTTATCGATACTGTCATGGACAGATACATCTGCAGCTGGCAGATTGGTAAGGATGAGGTTAAGTATGTTTTTCCCTCCTGTTGGTTCCCTCACCACCTGCTGCAGACCCAGTCTAGCAGCTATGTCCTTTAGGACCTGACCAGCTCAATCAGTAATACTGCTGCCGAGCCACTCTTGGTGGTGGGCATTGAAATCCCCCACCCAGAGTACACTCTGTGCCCTTGCTATCTTCAGTGCTTCCTCTAAGTGTTGTTCAACATTGAGGAGAGACTGATTCATCAGCTGAGGGAGGACGGTATGTGGTAATCAGCAGGAGGTTTCCTTGCCCATGTTTAACCTGATGCCATGGGACTTCATGGGGTCCAGAGTCAATGTTGAGGACTCCCAGAGCAACTGTATACCACTATATACCTGACTGTATCCCACTGTGCCACTCCCTCTGCTGGGTCTGTCCTGCTGGTGGGACAGGACATATCTAGGCATGGTGATGGTGGTGTCTGGGATGTAGTCTATAAATCTCCTAAATAACAATGCTCATTTAACAACCCAGTACAGGCATGTGAGGCTGACTGGTCTCTTTCTGTGCTGTGACATCTCAGTGATTCTATGAATCATGATGCTAAGAAATGGGAGGGAAGATTTCTCTTACTAAAAGTCCGAAGTCTCTTCCATAAACAGCGATTGTTAATTTATAAAACTGAGATTAATCTGACTTCATGTTGAAGCTTGAAAATAGCTGTAGCCCCAGAGAGAGAGCAATGTGACATGGTGGGCCAGTGTTTAAACTGCAGATAACAAGGTGCAGGGCTGGATGAACACAGCAGGCCAAGCAGCATCATAGGGGCAGAGAGGCTGACGTTTCGGGCCTAGACCCTTCATCAGAAAAGGGGGAGGGGAAGGGGGTTTTGAAATAAATAGGGAGAGAGTGGGAGGCGGATAGAAGAGGGATAGAGGAGAGGATAGGTGGAGAGTTCATTAGTGAGGCCACACCCACATCACAAAAACACCTCCTCCCATACAGTATAAATGTTCTTTACCCTTCACTTGGTATTTCTTGTGAATTGTCCAATGCCTTCTTTTACATTTTAGCAGTTTACAATGTTGTCCGCTCTAGGTCTTATTAAATATAGCAGCAGCCTGAGATTTAACATTTACGTTTGAAGCAATTCTGCATCCTAAGCATTGTTATCTCCATGATGTCCAATCTTGTCCTGTATTTTTCCCTTCTCTGATATTAAATCCTTTCAGCAATATTGTTTCTCCTGTCATGTCCACTTAAAGAGTTCATTTATTCTTCTTCCTTTGAATCTTTTCTGATAAATAACAGTGCTATATCTGTGTGCTGCTTACTGGGGATCGTTTTCTGGTTTCTGCCTTCTGCATGTAAAATGGATGTTGTTCTGCTTTCTCCAGCCAAGATAATGGCTTCCTGTCTTTTCATGGTCAAAACTTTTCACATCCCCACCTTTCACAGCCCAAAGGACCAGCATGTCCCATTCCATAATTCTCCAAAAATGTTTTATAGATGCAGGCTAAATAAACCTTTTTGACTTGGAGACAGTGAGGCCTGTAGATGCTGGAAGCTAGAGTCAGTAAATGTGGAGCTGGAAAAGCACAGCCAGTCAGACAGCATCCGGGGAGCAGGAAAGTCAACATTTCGGGCCAAAACTCTTTGTCAGGACTGGGGAGGGGGGAATCCCCAGAAATAAATAGAGGGAGGGGGCGTGGGTAGGTGCGATGGAGATAGGTGAATGTAGGTAGGGGGTTATTGTGGTTGGTCAGTGGGAAGGGGGGAGTGAATGTCTGAGTCGGAAGATGGAAAGGTTGGGGGTGGAGAGATTTTGAAGCTTGTGAAGTCAATATTGAGGCCATTGGGCTGTAAGCTCCCAAGGTGAAATATCAGGTGTAGTTCCTCCAATTTACATTTGGCCTCACTGTGACAGTGGAGGAGGCCAAGGATGGACATGTCACCAGGGGAGTGGGAGGGAGAATGTTTACATTATTAATCTGCGGCTTTCTGACTACCTTTTTCAGTTAAAAACTATCTGCTTTATCTTTTAAATAATCTGTTTGTTGCAGCAGTGATGTCTGTGAGATTCCCCACTGCTACAGCCTTAGTATTTTAGTTAAATCTATGACCCTTCCTTCCACTGCTGTAGACAGGTCTCATGGTGTGAACTCAGTGTGTAACACTCATTACACTTATTGTGAATGGTTAGTACTCATTTCTTAACTTCTGTCTCTCCCAGCCTGGTACTTTATGCTATTAATTTGAAGTTTCTCCGCTTACTTACAAGGATTTTTAATTTTACTCATGGAACTCTGAAACAGGCCCTCCCCAGCTGATCTTTGAATCAGGATGCCTCTATAAATCCCATACTCTGAGACTAACAATGTGACTGGTTTCCTAAGCTCTTACTGGCACATACTATCTTTCCTATTCCTCTTACCAGGATTTGAAGTGAATGCTTTAGGCTGGAGTGCTGTTTCTGTGTTGACGTTTTTTCTTCCAGACGTTTTGAACAAACATTTGCAGCTGCTGAATGATTGAGTATTCTGAAAAAAGGAAAGTATATAAAATGGGGAAGCACTCTTGTCTTCTGAAAGCCATTCTTCCTTCTGTTGTTACCTTGTGGCATTTCAGTAACGATGCCCACTACTGGGCAGAAACGTTCACCAACACCTAATGGTTGGGTTTGAGTTCTGCCACAACCCTCCTTTCTGCTCTTTGAAGTAAACAATGACAGTTTAGTCAGGCCTAGTGGTATTATCACTAAACTGTTAATCTGAGACCCAGGTGATGTTCAGGGGATTTGGGTTCGAATCCCACCATGACAGATGGTGGAATTTGAAGTCAATAAAAATGTAGAATTAAGAATTGGGTGATGACCATGAATCATTGTTAGAAGAACCAGTTGCTTCGCCAATGTCCTTTAGTAAAGGAAATTGCTGTCCTTACCTGGTCTGGCCTACATGTGACTCCAAACCCATAGCAGTATGGTTGACTCTCAACTGTTCTCTGGGCTTTTGGTGATAGATAATGAATGTTGGCCTAGTCAGACACCCATATCCTGCAAATGAATAAATTTAAAAGAAACTCCTGGTGGGGAATCTTTCTGTACTGGGTCTAAGGTTTGTTCAGTTAACAGTGAGAGAGGATGAGCCATTCATGAGTCTTAACAAGAAGAAGCACTGTCTTAACAAGACATAATTTACTGAATGATAGCAATATTACAAGTGACATTATTCATTAGAAAAAAACTATATCTGTTGGGAGCCAGGGATAACATCTGTCTCCATCTGGATTTCAACCTTGATTCCCTTGAAATCACACAACATCAGGTTAATTTGATATCACGACAGAAAGGTTTACGCTGAAAAAAGGCTGGAGCTTCTCAAGAGTAAGACAATACAGAACTCTTGTTAAAAATTCAAAGCAGTTTGGTGGGACCTGGTTGAAATTATTGAACCTTTACAGGGAAATGTGTAATGTCTTGGTAAAGATGATCATGGCACCAATTCAGTGAAAGGGCTGTGTTTTAATGCAGTTTGCTTTGACTTTGTAACATCTGATATTCTATCTCCATACAGAAATCACAGTGGACAGTAACAGTGAAGGAGGCCATTCCCGTTCAGGAAGTGAAGGGAATATCTCTCTGGCGAGAGATGATGTTTATTATCGTAATGTTGCCAGTCGAAGGAAATGGCCAACTCAACGCAGCATGGCATCTGACATTCGATACGGTAATTAATGAGCAGGCCTCTTCAATTCTCCATTTCAGCTCTTCAGAGTCTTCTTATTATCAGGGATGAGTGAAATTGATCACTGCAACAGATCACTGGAATTGATCACTAGAAAATACCTCCCAGCTCTGGGGTAGTAGGAACTGCAGATGCTGGAGAATCTGAGATAACAAGGTGTAGAGCTGGATGAACACAGCAGG